AAAGGTTTAATTGTGTCTCTGTCCCCTTTCTGTTTACATTTTAATGCCTTATTTATTTATTTGTAATCAAATATGTACAGTATATATATGACATATATTTATATATGTATGACATATATGCAGGTTATATTTTAATCACACCCATGATTTAATATTTTACACTGTACATTTGCAGTGCTACAAACCTGACGAACAGCCCCTCGTTGGATGTGGGAGTCATTAACGTCTAATCTTTAACTCATCTGTATTTATTTTTTGACTGTTGAGGAAAAGATGTCAAATGAATATAAACCCCATTACGGTGCTCTGTAATTAGTAGGTGATTATATTTTTGTTTAATTTTTTCTAATCTGTTGCTAAAGCTTTATTTAAATTCAACCGCCGAGAACATAATGAGGCAGAACCGCAGGTTTCGGTTGCAATTGCTCACATGACGAGACGCACAAACAAACCACAAATAACAGACAGAACACACACATAAACACCGCGAACACACCGCCGTGGTTCCCGGGTGTGGAGTCTGCCAAGTGCTCACCCATAATTAGGTGGTGATGTAGTGGCTTTTGTTCTCTCTGATTAATTATCTGCAGTTTCACAGTATATGAAAACAGCCAATTAACTTTGTACAGGTTCTCATTCAATTACCCGGATCGTACATGCGAAAGGTTAACAAAGGTTGAGCTCGGTTTTTGTCAGGGAGAAACGCAGGAAAACAAAGGTACTTTTCTCAGGCATGTGAAAGGTCAAAGAGTTAATTTGTTAATCCACTTAAGGTGTTNGCCTCTTCTATCAATATAATAGTGACACTAGAGGCAGTGTTTTGAACTGTACGGGGATGTTTCCACCTAAGTGGCGCTCTGGTGAAGAAAACCCTGGCTCTTTTTTTTTTTTTTTTTTGAAGCCAACTCAGAGGGCCATTCGTTTGCTTTGAAATAAATTGTCTTCTGCAGCCATCAATTGCACACGTCCAACACTTTAGAAAACACCAATTAATGCCGTGGAGAAAACGCAAAGAACTCCGAGTGAGCGGACTTTTAATTTTATCCAGTTCATTTGTGTCTTGTCAGAAACTATTACGCTGCAGAAGCTCCGGAAAGACTGCAGAGAAGACTCTTTGGTTTCAGCTGCAGAGGTAATTGGATGGATTTACTTGGAGGTGGTGGGGTGTGTGTGTGGGGGGGTGGGTTATGGGGGGTGCGATTGTGGCAGCCCGAGATGATCAGACCACCGTCAGGGTCAGTGGTGGTGTTATTTACAGAGAGATGTGAGTGTGCATTCAGACGCCCGTGAGTGAGTGTGTGGTCACGTTGGGTACCAAGCCCTTCATTACCTCCTCTCTCCAATCACAGGGTGGATTTATGGCCCCCGCAGAGAGGCTGTGAAAGCACAGTAGTGAGGTAGTTAGGTGCTCCAGCACACCCGCAGTCAGACACATCACCTTTATGGTCACTCCACCCCCATTCTTATTGCTGCGCGCGCCGACGTGGGAACGGAAACGCTGGAGATCAAACACCTTTAATTAGACCGTCTCGGTTGGTGCTGGAAGATGAATGACGTCGACTATTTTTTTATTTCGGCGTAACATTTTCTGCACATGAAGCATGGCGCGAGAAGCAGAAGCTGCTTTCTCACAGATTACGAACGTAATACTAATCTGAAGGCGCTGAATGTGCAGCGTTGTAACAGACACAGCGGTTCCTCCCTTGATGCTTCAGGACTTTAAAGCACTTCCCTGCAAGTCTGTGTGTTATTTATAGATGGCCCAGAAATAAAGACACAAACACCCTGCAACGTTGGAGACCTCTCCTCACCAGTACCACAGCTTGAGTTAATCAGTCTTATTGAGCTGCTTCGATTGGGTTGAAATTGGCTCGTCGGGTTCACAAAGTAGCACGAAGTCGAGTCACATTATCAATTACGGCGTGTGTACAATCGCTGTCCCGTATTGATCTCTTGGTGTCACCACCTCACACGACATCTCCTGACCTTTTAATATCAAGCAGCCTGAGACAACAGTATATTTGCAGTATACAGTGGAGCCTCAAGATACGAGCAAAATCCAGGACCGAGCTAGTAACTAGAGGTGCTCGTATATAAGGATTCCTGTGATATAAAATAAAATGTGGTTTTAATAATGAGTTCTTACCTTTGAGACAGTAGCGGCCGCTGCAGGCAAGTGCGCGGGCGCCACGCTCATATTTATTGACTCACTACCGTCCTTACCACTCACTTTCTTAGGACTCATCACTATTATGAAGAATAATGCACAAAATAGAGAGAAAATCATGTTGATAACGCTAGGGTACCCGTGGTCACAAACCTTCACAACCCAAGTCAATAGACATTAGTCGTAAACACCTGGGAAACATGATACGAGACGACCCCCCCCAAAAAAAATCTTGCGACCCACCTGAGGGTCGCGACCCAGTCTTTGGAAAACAATGCACTAAGGGGTTCAATATGGCCCACTTGATGAATTTTGTATGTAAAAAAAAAAAGTATACCCAACCTCAAAATTCCTAATAAATCACCCACTAGGGGCGCACTTTCACAGAGCTAATATGTAAAATGCTTCCATGTCAGCTCTGTCACCTAGTAGATGTAAGGAAGTGTTAGGGGTACAGAGAAGAGGGGAGAAATAAAAGAGAGAGAGGGTGAGTGTGTGTCCCAGTTGTCGGGTAAAAAAGTGAGAAATGGACACTGCTGAACAGATTTTCAACACTTTATTATGAAGACATATCTCCTCTTTTCCCAGTCACGCCCCACGTGCGCTGACACCACTGCTCCCTCCGTGCTCTGCCCACCCCATGGCGTTATCTTCCTCAGCCTTTATTATACAGAGCGTTCAGCACAGAGACAGTCAGATGTTCCCTCTCCCACGGGTGGACCCAACACATTCTCACATTTTATCTAACCCATCTTATTATCACACCGGCTGTAATTGAATTAGAGAGCGCTTTAAACCGGATATTTGTTTGATCAAACGAGAGCAATCAGAGCTAAACTAGTTTGGACACTTTATAGATCAGGTTTGAGTCCACAAACACCCTCCTTGATGTTATTAGCATTTCCATGCAGTGGCTGCGCTAATTATTTGTGTTTATTTCTGACGCGAAAACCTGCTTTGTATTTTGTAATGGACGATTGGAATGAGTGCGGACGACATATCTGCTGAATGATGTATAATTCTAAAGGCGATGAAAGCAACAAACTGTATACAATTATAAAGGGACACTGTTCATTATAACGCCCTCTGTTGATACAGAACAAAGCTACTTCTCCGACTCGGCCAAAAGCTCATTTCATTTAAATTCACTTAATCAGCATCAAACCGTTGCTGTTGTTGCGATGTTAAATGTAGAGCTAATTCGTTTTGCCTTTGATTTTGTTTATTTGGCCGGCCGTTCGCATAACATTTCGCTTTGGATTTGGATGGAAGTGGAGGACAATCACCAGAGGGTCTGCCACATGTACGGTGGCAGATGCTGCAGAAAGTCTGGCCATCCTGTGAGCTGCCATTTATATAAAAAAAAAACCCTTTTGGTTATGCGCCTGGCTTTGCTCTTATGAATCCATTACATGGGGCAGTCTTCACTCCATGGCATTGACTAATGGGTAGCCTTTGCTGCTCTGCAATGTGTAGGCTGCTGTATGATGTGCTTCGGCAGGCCTAGAAATGAGAAAGGTTAAAAAATGGCAGAAGGAGGTGCTGTGTAATCGGGCGTGATGAGTCCCAGAATTGGAGAATATTTAAACATTTGAAATGTTACACAATCCTGTATTGCATATTTGTATTATTTAATACCAGTAAAAACGCACTATTTATAAAACTCCTCCTAATAACCTGTGCATCCAAAGGTTATTCTGAAATCCCAGTCAAAATGGCTCGGCGTTATTCTGAAATCCCAGTCAAAATGGCAGTAAAAATCAGTAAAGCCCAGTCCTTGATTACGGTGTGAAAGCTGGGATGTATGAACAATATTTATTGTTGTCAGGGAAGAAGGTGTAATCATAGGAAAGGCATTTCAGTTGTGCTACTGTTGCAGTGACCTCACAATCTCCTTCTAACTGAGGCTGAAAGCACAAAAAGGCCATGTAACTATAGTTTTGATTGTGCAACATTGCCCCCTAAAGTTATTTTCTGGTGCCTACCCCCTGAGGCCCCCTCAAGGGGGATCCATGTCAGAGGACAATGCCACATTGCAAAATAGTACAGGGAATGCTGAATGTGAGCAATTTGGTGCCTTTGCTTTACAGCAAGAAGAGCAACGGTTCAAATCCTGTGGTAACCGATGGTCCTTCTGTGTGGAGTTTGAATGTTCTCCCCATGTGGGTGTGGGTTTTCTCCAGGTTCTCCAGTGTTCTTGCACATTCTGATTTGGAAATTAGATTTGTAGGCTACCATATGACATATACCTGACCATATACTATATATTGACATGTGTGTGTGGTTGTTAGTCTTTATACAGTATGTGGTCCTGTGATGGATTGGTCAACTGTCCAAGGATGTTTACACTGTCTTTTCCCAGGGGTTGCTGTGAACGGGCCCCAGCCCCCCTTGTGACTTTGACAAGGCTTAAGCAGAAGATTAATGAATGAATTAACACGTTAATGAACTTCTGATGACCTGCTTCTCGGAAATGGATTTTATGTGCACCTCACATGTTGACCTGTATATTTAGTATAGAATAAAAACATTCAATTTTTATATAGTATTAAAAACAAGCAAAAGGAAGACATGGGAAATTGACATGGCCTTTTTCAATGGGGTCCTAAATGTCAACAGAGCAAAGAAAACTGTGACTTAAGTCGTGTATTTCGTGTACTTGTATTCTGCAAAAGAGTTGCACTTTAGAGTAAAAGTATACATTTTTTGTCTTTTGTGTATTTTGGGTAGATAATAGGTTTTAAAACTAATTATTAATGTCTATAATTCTTCAAGTATGATTGTTAAATATGCTCTTTTGGTATAGGCGTGTAAATGACAGTTGTTTTGTTGGCGTTGAGCGTCCTCTAGCGGCAGGAAGTTGACATTATAATTAGAGTTTCCGTCTCCGGCAGCCATATTGCTTGCAGGAGCAAATTCTAGAAATCAAGAAGAGGGAACGGATTTGAAGATTGATTCATATTTTAGGATTTAAAACACTCTTCTAACGTAGAACACAATGGGTAAGCTGTCCGACAATTTAACGGTACATTTTAATGTTGACATTCGGAAATTGAGGTGTGTGGTCGGCGCGAGGGTGGTTATGAAATCCTCACCCTCTCACTGTTGTTGAACCAGGCTTGTCGTTGCTACGTAGTGGCGAAACACGAGTTGCTTTTCTAAGCCGTTCCAGTTGCTGTGTCATCTGTCACCATACATAATGAACCCAGGAATTCGTTAATATGTGTAATTTCGTTAAGTTGCTGTAGTTCTGGAAAATAATTGTGTGACAAGTTGGGCGAAACTTGTGCTGATGCTAGCTGCATTAGCACAGTAATGTAACCCACTGTAAATTCATGACTAAGCTTTTCGAACACATGTACGAAGGTTAGACCACATGCTGTTGACAGTTATTATAATACCATAGAAATCTGACCAACGTCTGTGACGTCTCTTTCAGAGCCGTTTTTTTTTTTTTCATGACACACGTTTGTAGTGTTAGCAGCTTGGCGCTACTCTAAATATTTCAAACATTGTTGTATTTGTATAGTAAGGCAGACACTTAGTGCGACAGGTTTAGGGTTAATATAAATCATTTTAATAAATATATTTCATTGTAAACATTTGTTGACGCAGCAGCTAGTGCAAATACTGTGTTAGCGGTGTCACTTAGCCCTTTCTGCCAACGGCTTAGCTTGTTGCGTTATTCAAAATATGTGGAATTCGTTACGTCAGTGTATATGACGTTAACCAAATGGCATTTCACACGTTTGTAATATTTATTTATTTTAGTCTGAACTCATTGCTGTGTCTGACACGTCAATTCATACACCTGTGCGCAAATTCCTCTCAGAATAAGCTCTGTGAAAATGGATAAACAAAATAGTCATTGGTGCACCTTTTTTTTATCCAAATATGTTTGTGTACACCCACCTGGAATTATATGTTTACTGTTTTAATGTCTTGTTTTTTTGTTTTGTTTGTTTTAATCAACATTGTACTGTATAGAGTTTTCAATATTGAATAATCTAAACCTTTTATTAGGCACTAGTAGGTCTGTAAAACATTGCCAGGAATGAAGAAATATTATGCCAAAAAAAATTAAGCAATAAAAGAAAAGCTACATCATATGAGGTGACTAAAATATAATACAATAGAAAAACCACATTATATGATACCCTGTTTTTTTCTTTGCATTTATGACATTTCAAGCCCACCATTTATCCCCCTTATTGCTTGGACAACAGTGTTTATGTTAAGAAGATTCAACATGTACTGAATTCTTCGGTAGTATACATTTTCAATGCACTTTGAAACAATGGGAACTTCTAAAATTGTCAAAAACTTCCCCCATAATTGTTCACTCTCGACTGAGTCACAAATGTGGTTTTGCTTCTGTATTATCTTAACACTCCTAATTACTGTATGTCTCCTCTCAATTCCTTAACTTCATAAAAGAGGCCTGAAGATGAATCAAACTTGGTTCTTTTCTTGTCATTAGAGCAAGCAGCCATGCATATACTTTTAAAACTCATTTGCACACAAGGCTAGAAGAGCTGTCTGGAGGAGACAGTTTTCTGGTCTACATATCTTGCCTAATTCCAGCTTGTACAACCTAATTGTGGCTGGGTTCCATGTGTTTTCGATGGGACTTTTCCTCCTTGCCCAAGTGCACAGACTCTATGACGCATCACAGAGCGCCTCCTTTTTTCCATAGTGACACATTGCTCTAAAGCGGGTCTCCCGAGAAATGCCTGTGTTGTTAAGCATTTTTTTTCCCAAGGCTGTTTCAGTGCCATCCAGTCACAATAGTAACAAGTCAGCACGGCTCACAAGCTGTGTGTGCAGCAGCTCATGTGGCTAACATTATTAAAAAAAAAAAAAAATCAGAAGCACCCAACTGCAGTCTGTGTCCTGCATGGCCCATGGCTTTTCCATCAGGACACATTACAAACATGGATAAGCCAGCTGTAAGTCTTTTTGCCGTTATCCTTTTAAGCCACAGCTTCATTTCTATTTGCACCATTTTTTGGAATATTTCGCTGGAGCTGAAGGCAAACAAGTTTTGCAACATTACGTACTTAAGGCAGTTTTCTCACTGGTGTTGTCCCCATTATTTTTGCTAAAAAACTGCTCTTGTCAGATTCATATTTGTTAAAGCGTGAAGCTGCTGTTATAGCTGTACACAAGCTGGGAACAGAAGATTTTGTCAGTGTGGAAATCAAGTCATGCTCTCTCAGCTAGTCAATTCTTTTAAACCAATGCATGTGTTTGTCCCCAGAATTTGCCCCAAGTAATGCTTTAGCCATGTGCCCTGGCATGCCTGTGTTTTTATATGCGTTGGCCAGTTTACCCTTAACTTGTTTATACATAGCTGTTATATATATAGACCTGTGTACACGCTGTTTCATCGTTATGACCTATAAATAGAGATGTCAAATGAGACATGTGGCAAGTCCTTTTCCATAGAAAAGGTGTAGCAGCCTCCACCTCAGCCTCAAGGAATTCCCGTACAGCACTGTGTTTTAAAAGTGTAATAACCGGTGTCTCTGTCCATCAGAGCCGTCAGCTAGTCCAGCCAAGGATAACTACAGGATGAACCGCTACAAGAACAAAGCACTGAACCCAGAGGAGATGAGACGCAGGAGAGAGGAGGAGGGCATCCAACTCAGAAAACAGAAACGGGAACAACAGGTATGTTACTACACCTGTGTATATCACACCTTCACTGCCTTTACTTCAGTTTGCCACACTTTTTGATAGAAACTGCAGTACATTAGCGTTGTCGTTCTCCTCCGATGCTAGCTTTTCAAGAGGAGGAATGTGGACATTGCCAGTGAAGAGGAAGCAATGTTTGAGAGTCCATTGGTGGACTCTTACCTGAGCTCTCCGGTAACGGTGAGTGACTCCTCTCTCAGTGTTTAGTTGACATGTCAGACATTTGTTTTCCTCTAAATTTGTTTTGCTCGCAAGAGTTTTAGAAACTTGTCCACAGAGTCAGCTGAGTCAGCAGTGTGAGGATCAAGTGCTGTAACGGTTGTGTATGTATCACTGTAGGAAGGAGTAATTACCAGAGACATGGTGGAGATGCTTTTCTCTGAAGACCCAGAGCTTCAGCTCGCCACAACACAGAAGTTCAGGAAACTACTTTCTAAAGGTACAAGCTCAATTCTACTGCAGCAACAATAGTCTAATCGTTAACATTTTAAATATTCCACATTCTTACTAAAAATATTATTTAAAGAAGCTACAACTGCCATATTCAGATATGTTAATAGAGCTGCATGTATTGGGATTGTTTTTTTTAGCATATTAAATCAGTATTTAATTTAGGAAGCTTTCCTAAATTAACAATTTTGGAAATGTTTATACCTCGCTGTTAATCCACAGCTCTCTGTGAATAATCTGGTTAATGTAATGTAAATGTGTTATGTGTTTTTCCATTATTATTCAGAGCCCAACCCCCCAATTGATGAAGTTATAAACACAGCTGGAGTCGTGGAGAGGTTTGTTGAGTTCCTGAAAAAGAGTGTCAACTGCACATTACAGGTTAGTGAAACCAATATATTTTGTGAAGTGTGAAGTGAAACACGTCAAGTGTTGCTTGCTGTTTAGTAGTGTGAAGTACTTTGGACGGTAATATAGTGTGAACTTGTCACGGCAATGTTTTTGCTGTGTCATCTCAGTTTGAAGCAGCCTGGGCTCTGACCAACATTGCATCAGGTACTTCCCTACAAACAAAGACGGTGATAGAGGCAGGAGCCGTGCCAATCTTCATAGAACTACTCAACTCAGACTTCGAGGATGTCCAAGAACAGGTGACACATGTAGCAACTGGAGTTCATACTGTTTTTTTGGGGCTCTAATTTGTTTTTACATAACGCTTATTTGAATGTGATTTGCTGTATTTTAGGCTGTGTGGGCCTTGGGTAATATTGCAGGAGACAGTGCCGTTTGCAGGGACTACGTGCTGAGCTGCGATATTCTCCCACCGCTGTTGATGTAAGGAAAACCCTTTCTTTGTCTGATGTCTCTCATGTTTTTTGAGTAGAGATGCACCGATTGTTGTTTACAAAAAGAAGTGTTTTTTAGTCCAAAAATGTATTCTTCTAAAAAGTGATTCAAAAATATTTCCCTCAATCTGAACTCAGTCACAGGTTCTCTCTTCAGTTCAATAACTTAAAAATAAAATAAAGTGCCCTGTGAAGCCAATTTTCTAACAAATAAAAGCTTGTGCTATAGATCTGTATATTCTGTCTCTGTCTAACTGAGCCATTGACATAGACGTTAAACTAACATTCAAATGTCAGTTCTAAAACCAATTGCTGCTTTACGGTCGGCCTGTAGCAGGCTGCTAACATAGCACAAAACCTGGAACAGTGACAGGCTGTAGCTATGGCAATATGACAATTGGTCCATTCAGGTCATTGTCCACTCAATCGATGCATCTCTATGGTCGAGCCTTCGATATTATTGTTTTGTGAAATTATTAGGTTATACACTTTACCTCAAACTCTCAATTCAGGCTTCTGACCAAATCTACAAGACTGACCATGACGAGGAACGCAGTCTGGGCTCTCTCCAATCTCTGCAGAGGAAAGAACCCTCCACCCGCTTTTGAAAAGGTACCGCTCGAGGAAAATATGCGTACTGGTGATCAAATGTCACATAGTGAAGTCAGATGAGTGAAGTACATTTTTCCGACTCAGCCCAATTGGAATTCAAACACGTCATGTTCGGAAAGCTTCATCTGGATCTGTGTGTATTGTTGTTTATGAAGTCATGATCATTTCATGTGTGTGTGACGTCTGCTCTGTCTAGGTGTCACCCTGTCTGCCAGTGCTGTCCAGGCTTTTATTTAGCAGTGACCCAGACTTACTGGCAGACGCCTGCTGGGCTCTGTCCTACCTCTCAGATGGCCCCAACGACAAGATCCAGGCCGTCATCGACTCTGGTGTCTGCCGGCGGCTTGTAGAACTGCTAATGTGAGTAGCGCCACACTCTGGTGTATTTTTGAGTGTTTTAGTCCAGTAAGAGTTAACATCTGCTTTTTTGTTGCAGGCACACTGACTATAAGGTGGCCTCCCCTGCCTTGAGAGCTGTTGGAAACATTGTCACTGGAGATGATATCCAAACACAGGTGCTTCACTACCACCGCCTCTCGCAGGTCAAAGGTCACAACCATATGAATGCAGCCACTAAACAAATCTCTGTACATTTTTGTGCAGGTGGTGTTGAATTGCTCAGCGTTGCCCTGTCTGCTTCACCTGCTCAGCAGCGCAAAAGAGTCTATTCGCAAGGAAGCGTGCTGGACCATCTCGAACATAACAGCAGGAAACAGAGCTCAGATACAGGTGAAGGATACACAGAAAAAAAAATTCCAACAGATTTCACACTCAGTATTGAGTATCAAGTCAGTTTGCTCGTTTAATTCAAATCCTTGACGGTCCTTGTCCTAAGGAAAAGGGAGAGATTATTTCAAAGGCTTTGTGCCATATCTTTTTCACCCACAGACAGTTATAGATGCCATCATCTTCCCAGTGTTGATCGAAATCCTACAGAAAGCCGAGTTCCGAACCAGGAAGGAGGCGGCTTGGGCTATCACCAATGCGACCTCTGGTGGGACGCCAGAGCAGATCAGGTCAGACTTCCAGTTTTAAGCTCTTGTTAAATTCAGTGTGTAATATAATATACTGAACAGAATTAAATAAATGTGAAAAATGACTTTGATTCATTTGAAATTCAAGTGAATTCTAACACACCTGTTGCCAATATCTTTCCTCCTGCGTAGATATCTTGTGAATCTGGGCTGCATTAAGCCTCTGTGCGATCTGCTGACGGTGATGGACTCCAAGATCGTTCAAGTAGCCCTGAATGGACTGGAGAACATCCTGAGGCTCGGTGAGCAGGAGATGAAACAGGAGAACAACGGCTCTGGAGTCAACCCTTACTGCAGCCTCATCGAGGAGGCCTACGGTAATATCACTGAGACACATCCAAACACACGCTCAGTATAAATGTAAACACACCGTCTCACAGTAAACAGTTTATGGTACAGCTCACAATATAATGTCCGTTTATTCAAACCAAAATTAAACACTTTTATTTCAATGCATACAATTTTAACACAATACCTTCATTACAAGCTTTTTAAAAGAAACTTTTTATTACAGTTTTACTGTAGTATTCATTACTATTGCTACCCACTTCATTACTATTGATGGAGGGGGTTGCATCGCTGACATACTTTCTGTGCAGCACCTGATTATGTGTGACCGCTAATTTAAACATTTGTGTAGCTTTTGCCATACTGATTATATTGAAAATATAATCGTAGGTACGGTGGGGCGGTGATTGTAATCCTAGCATTTGGACTAAAACCTGCAGTGCAGCTGCGAGCATCACACTCACATGAATTTTTGGTAAATTGTTTGCGATCACTGGTTTAATTTCGACCTACCACGACTTTTCAGGTCTGGACAAAATAGAGTTCCTCCAGAGCCACGACAACCAGGAGATCTACCAGAAGGCCTTTGACCTGATCGAGCACTACTTTGGAGCCGAGGACGAGGACAGCAGCCTAGCTCCTCAGGTGGACCAGGCCAACCAGCAGTTCCTCTTCCCCCAGCAGGAGGCCCCCATGGAGGGCTTTCAGCTATAAATCAGCTGAAACCCATTGTCTACCCTAGCATACCACTTTTTTTCATGGAGAACCTGCAGCCCAAATCGTACCTCTACATACTCTTACCTGATTTTGCCACTTCCTGACCACCTCCCTGCACCCCCCCCCCCAACTGACCACCCACCTCGGCAAATGATGAAATCTTAAACTGTCTCGCTCTCCAGCCTTAAAATGTCTCCTACTCCTCAAGCAGTGGACCGACCTCTTGCAGGGTAAACTCGTGTCACACAGACAACATAACATTTAGAAAGAGGAATCGATGACCTCACGGCTCAAAGTGAAGGTCTGTCCCGGCTAATTGCACACCACAGACAGACGTCTTTCTGTCATCGGACACTTATTTGATTTTCTCATCGGCAGTTACCGTGACCTGTTGATCCATGATATTTTGATACACTTTTTTCAATGGGACATTCCTAAATTCAGGACTGCCATGCATTCCCCGGAGAGGTTTGCAGACCGGGATGCATGAGGTGAATTATGCCCCGCTACAGCTGTATGTTTGATATATACCAATTCAAGTAGTACTTATAAATTTTTTTCCTTTTTTTTTTTTAGTTTTAATTATTGTGTTATTTCCCTGTCTCCCTTATTTATCTGCTCCTTTTTTTTATTAATTCTTTAATTTGTGCTCGGTTTGCGTTTCATTTCATTTTCTTAATGGAAAGCACATGGTTTGCTACCAGCAGGAGGTTTCTGCGTATCTGCTGATGGGAATAATAAACCTATCTGTATGGGGTCGGGTGGGGGGTTGCTAGGTTTATTGTGAGGGGGTGTTTACCCAAAATGTAGGGCTGTCTCCTCAGCTAAAACTTGTATGTGGGGTTGCTTTTATGCCCTCCCTTTTGTTTTAGTAAGGCACTTTTTTTCCAAGTGCTACAGTGGATGTAGAGGTTAAAACATTTGAAAACTAAATATAAGTAACCGTAGCACATGCTTGAAACGGGATATTGACAAAGCGACCCTTTTCTCCCTGAAAAACTCGGCTGTCCGAGGGTGATAGTAGTTAGAAAAACCGATGTTCGTCGTGTGCCGTGATATCTAAAGACTTGTAATAAAAAGTGATTTAAATATTAAGCGTGGCATAGCTGGGATTGAAGGAGGACTAGGAGCCAGTGGCAGCGGCTGACCCGAACATGCAGTATATTCATATGAAATTGCTAAAACAATTGCAATCTCTCGAAATCGGAGTGATTAGAAACGACATGAGGCAAAATCTTTGTTCTGATTTCTATCAAAAACACAGTCCTCCTTGTCAGCTCGGCTCTCTATGCTGCCTTCTCCCTGCTCTTAGATAGTAGAGTTGTTGCATTGTGTTATACCGTTATAACACACTGCCTACAGTCACAGAGTGTCCCTGGTCAAAACGGTTCACCGCCGTCGTCGTCGATTAAGAAAGGCTGCAAAAACAACTGAGAGCATTTGTAGTGAGGGGGGAAAAAAGCAAAGGAATTGAACCATAGCTCACTGGTTTGTTTGTGTAGACATTGATGGTGTAGTGCCGTGAAGCAGTAGAGTCGATATAATAACCTGTGGTGTTCTTTTTCACTAAGTTTAAGGAATGGGAATAACAACGGATATGTAAATGATTGTTGCATGAGTTCTTTGTAATTTCTATGAAGTATTTATGTAAATAGCCTGGTTAGGAGAGTGTAGTCTTAGAAGTTTGGCCAGGGATACGTGTCAGAAAGTCTAACAGCGGCATAATAATTTAAATTAATATATATTATATATGTGTATATATATATATATGTATATATATGTATGTTTGTGTATATATATATATACATATATGCATATATATGATGTACTTGCACACACTTACACTTGCATACAACACCAGCAGACGCACACCTCACAAGTGGCTAGTAGCAAAAACAGGTTCCCTTTTTTTTTTTTTATTATTAGTTTTTTCATGATGATTTTTGGTTAAGTTCATTGATTGATTTCAGGTTTTAAGTTGATACAGAAAGATTTTCAGTCTTGTTCAAACTGTTTTTGCTGCATCCAAGCCACATGACTAACGATGGTAAACATCAGTCCCATCTACCCTAACCCCGACACTAGATCTGTGCGGGACCCTGACACAATCTAACACCACGACCAGTGCTAGGTCTTTGTGATTGGAGCCGAACCGTGGTTGCGTGACGTTTGACTGACAGGCACTGTGAGGACGCTGTCGATTAGGTCGACGATGTGCCCAGCAGAATCTGGGAGCCTCTGTTCCGGTGGATGACAGAAGCAGCTCAAAACACGAAACCGTAAAGGCGTACTGACAACTGTGGTCTTTGGACAGTATGTAAATACTGCAGTCTGCCTGATCCAGATCACATTTTTTCACAACCAAAAAGAGCAAAATCTCCCTTTGTTTCAAACAACGTTGAAAGCCTTCCACAGAGGATGTGCATTTTGACCCATTACGGCTTCGTGAGTTAAAACGTTTTCCACAGAACGTCTTTGCTTCCAATTAACAAAATGGGTCAAATCGTGTATAACTGAGCGCAGAGAACATACTCTACATGTCATAGATGTGGAGCATTTACACCATAGGTATTTGGTCTGATGGATTAATATCTTAAAATACACCAGAAATGTAAGTTTGGGAGGGGGAAATAACATATATATGAAAAGTAATAATGCACTCCTATTCACAAAAGTGCCAACCTGACCAACAAAGACTGGAGGTTCTTAGGTATGTCTTTGACTTACAGATTTTTTTTTTATATATATATATAAAAATTTATTTACTTGAATGTGCACACATACTTGTGCAAAAAAACATTGCTGCTCTTTCCTTCTTATCTCTAAAGTTATAATAGCCATTTTTTTTCTTTCAGAAAATGGCGCTCTTTGCAATGGGCACCCAGATCTCGGCCTAAAAAAAAAAAAAAACACGACCTTAAATGGCAAACTTTACAGCGACTGGTCTTGTTCATTTGACGGTCCCCGCTCTAAAAGTCTTCTCATGATTTTCACTGTGCAAATGTTTTCAGAATCCGAAAAATAAATGCATATAATAAATATAGGAAAGTGTAAAATGAAGCCTTTTGTCAACGTTGTGGCCTGTGGTCAGACCCTTTGCTAAAAAATGGAAACTACGCTACTAGGAATGCTATAGTGATTTTCTTGTGACACGTTATGCAAATAGTGGAAACTTCAGTGACTATCATTGCATACAATTGCAAGTACTAACTGTATAGTCAGACTTTGTTAACCAAAGTTGTTTTGTCTTTTTGTTTGTTTCTTTGTAGTTGACAGAATTGTTTTGTTGTTGTTTTTTTTTCTTAATCCAGTCACGACTGAGAATCTGTTTTACGTCTTTTACGAAACTTTTTTTTTTCTTTCATTAGGCTCTGCATAAACTCAGTGAATATTCTGCACAATAATGTCCAGGAGTCAAGACCCCCTTCCCCCAACTCAAAAAAGACAGAAATCCACTATCATACTGCTGACACACTTTACATTAGATGAGGCTAAAAAGAGGAATACTTGACACTTTTGTAAAATAAAGATCTGGGATTCATGAAATACTGTTTATTTACATTTTATTTTTTAAGTATTATAGGTTTAAGTACATGTATGGTGTGATACATTGACAAGGATTCAGATGCAATTCTAGTCACTTCTGAGAAGTGGAGAAAAACAAAAGTCATTAGGACATTTCACAAAAATAAAAAGAAACGTGGATACGAGCCTTTTCTGCTTTTCCCGATCTTTTTCTCGGTCAGGATGTATTTCTGAGTAATTGTGTTTAGAGTAGGTTTGTCCTACTCAGGCTACATTAGGAGAAACCTATGTCATCCGCGGGGGTGTGAACCAACTTCACAGAATATCTCAAATCCTGACTTGTCTTCCGTCCTAGAAACTGTTTATGTCGACTGTATCAAAATCTAAAGCCAAAAAATTTGGCTTTTTTTTTTTTTTTCAAGTTATGTCTACGCCACAGATGTTTACAATGCTGCATGTGTCTATAAAGTACTTTTCATATGCCATCAGTGACCAGACTTGCTCTGGTCCTCTCATCTCCTATATGTGTATTTATTTCTTTTCTCTCGTATATGTTTTTCATTTGCTCAAATGTATCTTTCGTAAACTGTGACTTGACTTGACTTTATCGACTGTATGAATGAGTGACAGGAAACCGGTACACTTCAGCTGAACACGACACACAAACACGAACATTACAAAAACAATTACGAGAAATGGCAACAATATAAAAATGTAAAGAAAAGATATATATTGAATTGTTCAGTGGAAATACTGTACAAAGCAAATAAAGTAATGTTTCAACCCTTGTTAGTGTGTTTCTTCCTCACAGGCAGGTTTGGTGGTGTTATCTATCCATCCATCTTTCTGTCTATCTATCTAACAAAACATACTTGTCAATAGCTTTAAAAAATTATTGATGATCAATTATTATATCACGTATTGACGATTGATTAATTATAATGAATAATATAATCGTTGGGTAAAGCAAAATAGCAAAAAAAAATGAATACGTGGAATACTTTTGGTTATCTTTATTGGGGGGGAGGGAAACAAAGTCTGTCTCCGTGCCATAGAGGGCGACAGAACGCCAGACATATAGATGTTCAGGAGCCGTAAAAGAGAGAAGAAGCGTCTAAAAGTTATTACCGGAAACGTTCCCAAGGCTCACGCTGTTGAGGAAACCTGCAATTCACGGCGTCTTCAGCGGGTAAAGGTAAATATCAGACGAAATGTGTTTTTATATTTGTCTGTATGAAGCATACACTTGTTTCTAAACGTATATATAAAATCTGTAACCGCTGACTGGTTTCGGGTAGAGCTGTTTTAGGCTGCGTAGGTCGTTGAGCTAGTGTTAGCATGTGCTGCTTAACGTCATAGAAAAACGAAAACTAAACCCAGTTGGTGAGGATAAAATAATTGTGGAATTCCAAATAATGTCTCAATAAAATCCAAACATAATCTGCTGTGGTTTATAGTAGCTTGACTCATTAACTTAACATAGCCAGTTTCTTCCGTGTTTGCCTGGAATCTCAGGAGCATCGGGTCAACCTGAAAACTGATTTGGTAAATGCGTTCAAGTGTAGTTTTGGTGTCGTCGCTGGGAAATATTAAGTGTTCGAACGTCTGCGTGTGTCTGTTTCTCAGTAATCGAACATGAAGAAGCAGGACACCGAGGAGGTCGCCACAGAGGCTGCGGAGGATTCCCCACCTGCTGCGGGAGAGATGGAGTCGCCCCCTCCTGCAAAAGACAACTCGGACACCAACAGCTCCAAAGAGTCCGAACCACAGACACCACAGACCAACACACCTCCTCAAGGTGAAGAGGCTGAAAGTCAAGGTCAGTTTTTTTTGTCATAAATTTTCAACAAATTACACTTCACAATAAATAGCACAATCCCTTAATCCACTGTCATTTCACTAAGTGTTTAATGTCTAATACAGGGAAACATCATATTTACTGTATAATACAACAGACCATGTGAGTAATTTTTCCCCAGATGAATAAAATTTGGAAAAGGATATACTGTACATAATGATAATAATATTAAATTAAATTAAATTAAATCATTATTGACAACTAGTTTAACCAGACCAGAAGCCCAAAACTGCCACTGTAGGCCCAGCAGGAAAAAATATTAATAATAGTACTTTATAGGGTATATAAAGGTTTGCTGTTGCATCATGGGGGAATGTTTTTCTTTTTGGGGGTGGGGGATTGTGATGAATGATTTTATGGATTTACTGATTCTATATCTGATTTGTCTCATTGGTTCCTTTTAGTTCTTAAGATCAAGTTCGATTTGGTAAAGAGGTTATATTAAACAGCTTAACCCTATTAAAGGTAAATATAATAAAGATAAATTGGAAATTTTATTATGACCATGTGATAAAGCGTGTCCTTCCAGTGCAATAAATGGTTACAGTAAAATAATAATAATAAAATAATAAAAATTATTATTATTATTGAAAGATAACATTACACAAAAGTTGGTCTGCCTCAGATAGGTCAGTCCAACACTGAAGATTACCTAAAGTGATGTGACATTTTTCCCCAGGTGGCATAGTCAGACCCGTACAAGCTTTGACTGAAAGCAAAGTCATTTCTTTTCTTTGTTTCCAGTTGCAGAGGCAGCTCTGTCTCGCTGTGATATGGCAGACGAGCTGAGTCGGCAGCTTGAGGACATTCTCAGCACCTACTGTCAGGAAGCAAAGAGTCTGACAAATCGCAAGTCAAACAGTCTGGAGCTAAACGGTCTGAGCGGCGAGAGAGAGGAGGACAAGGGAGAGGGTGGTAAAGTCAACGGAGGTGACAGTGGGACACAGAAGGACCAAAAGAAGACACAAGACAAAAAGAAAGTGAAGTGTTTGGGTAAGGAGACGTCTCTATAAACACACAGTGTTGGACGTATAAATGTAAAAGCTCTCCTCTGTTTGACCATTCACTTTTGAGCAGCTTTGTTTTTATTTTAATTCTCTCATTGCGCAGGAAAGGAAATCACCCTCCTCATGCAGACACTGAACACTCTGAGCACACCGGAGGAAAAGCTTGGAGGACTCTGCAAGAAGTATGCAGAGCTGGTGAGTTTTTCCCTCCACGCAGGATTCATTTTATGTCAATGAAATACCGTTTTCAGGATAAAATCGCTCTGTATCGGATTGATTTTTTTTGCTGCAGCTGGAAGAGCATCGCAACACGCAGAAACAAATAAAAGCGCTTCAGAAGAAGCAGAGTCTCGTGGTCCAAGAGAAGGACAACCTGAGGAGCGAACACAGCAAGGCCATCCTGGCTCGCAGCAAACTGGAGAGTCTGTGCAGAGAGCTGCAGAGACACAACCGCACACTCAAGGTGTGTTACAAAACCAATTTTCTGCAGTTAGACACGTCGGATGTCGACACTTGTACAGCATTTGGACTACACTTTTCTAACCATTTTCCCACTTCTACTCACACAGGACGAAGGGGTGCAAAGAACACGCCTGGAGGAAGAGAAAAGAAAGGAGGTGACCTCTCATTTCCAGATGACGCTGAATGACATCCAGACTCAGATGGAGCAGCACAACGAGAGAAACGCCAGCCTGCGACAGGAGAACAGCGAGCTGGCCGAGAAGCTCAAAAAGCTGTACGAGCAGTACAAACTGAGAGAGGAGGTGGGTGTATTTTATTTGCACTTCACATTCCCGGTGAAATACCTGACAGCTTTTAAAATTAAAATGCCTTCTACTCTCTGTGGGGTATACTCACCAGCACATAGACAAAGTGGTGAAGCACAAAGATCTACAGCAACAGCTAGTGGATGCAAAACTTCACCAGGCTCAGGAGCTGCTGAAGGAGTCGGAGGAGCGGCACGACAAGGAGAAAGATTTTGTAATTATCTTCTTCACTTATGCAAAAAAAAAATTAGATTTGCACATGTGACGTCCCGGGTATTGTGTTTCATTCTCAGCTGCTGAAAGAAGCGGTGGAGTCTCAAAGGACCTGTGAGTTGATGAAGCAGCAGGAGGTCCACCTCAAACAGCAGGTCTTCCCATCCGTCATTAACAACTTTAACAGCTTTTTACACCTTTAAAATGTTAGTTTTATACCAAGTAGTGTTTTTTTCCCTATAACCTCAACTTCATGTTTGTTTGTTGTTGTTGTGTTTTTGTTATAGTTGTCACTGTACACCGAAAAGTTTGAAGAGTTTCAAACAACTTTATCCAAAAGTAATGAAGTCTTCACCACATTTAAACAGGAGATGGAGAAGGTGAGTGGTCGTAGACAGACAGAGGGAGGCAGAAAATGAAGGGTGGTGATGAGGAAGGTCGGCACTGCATTTAACACCCATTTCTATACCACAGTGTCCAAATATATTTATCTACACAGGGTGTTTATACTATCATGCCCAAAGACAGGAGTGGGACTATTGTAAGATAGTTTTATTTATTTTATAATACCAGCAGCTCTAATAAGCTAACATCTCTTGTCAGTGTCACGTCAAAGGGGATAGTCATTTGTTTTTTGTTCAGACCATTAAAGCAAGTGTTAATTTATTGTCCGAATAATGTAAATAGTGCTGCACAGTTTAAGTCGCACTTTGTTTTCTGGAATACCAGAAAGTAGTATTGCTATTAGCGTGTAAGCGCCGCTCACTTTCTGTTCACTGACTGTTAACAGGGGATGTCCAAACTTTTTGCAAATAAGGCCAGATTATTTTGCAAGACATTCTTTGAGCCATTAACATTAATTGCAAATTACAAATGTTATGGAAATTTAATTGTGAACAGCATGTTTCTATTGTGTTACATGAATGGTAAATGTGAAAAGGTCCTATTAAAAGAACTGAAATCTGCGGGGGAAAAATGTGTTTCTTTTGTGTTATAGATGACCAAAAAGATCAAAAAGCTGGAAAAAGAGACGGCTATGTATCGGTCCAGGTGGGAAAGCAGCAACAAGACACTTCTGGACATGGCAGAAGAGGTGAAGCAGCTGTCGGATTTTTTACACTCTTGATTCATATTACATTTACAAAGATTACAGACGGATCCCCTCTTTATCTCAGTTTAATAGCTTTGTAACTGTCAAATAGTATATTAAGGCTTCACTCAACCTGTAGAAATCTTTGTTGTAACAGAAAGCTGTGCGAGACAGAGAGTTTGAAGCCCTTCAGGGTAAAGTACAGCGGCTGGACAAGCTGCGGCGGGCGCTCAAAGTGGAACGGAACGAGCTCAACAAGAAGGTCCAGAACCTGAGCGGTCAGCAGGGTGGCGCCTCAGGAGCTTCGACCTCCGATCCGGGGACAGACTCGCCTTCCCCACCACCCACGGACTCTTTGCCGGAACCCAATGCATGCTCCGTCTTGGACACGACCTCCTGCGCCCACTCCTGCCACTGTGGCCCAGAACTCAGCACAAATCTTATCCTAGAAGAGGGAAACGCTCAGCTTGTCGCGATGCCGGAGTGAAGCAAAGCAACGCCGCTTAACGGTCTCCCGTAAAGATCCGGTCGATACTTTGCTTTCCGAGAAAGTCCAGAAGCAGGTCCTTCCACCGTGTCGTGCAGACAACCTGCAGTTCTATAATAAAATTTTAAATAGTTTACTGTGAAAAAAACACAACTTCAATTTCGGTGTGATGAAAGGCTTTTACACGCTCTGCAATATTCGAGGTTCATTAATTCTCTCTTACCACTTTGAAATATTGTAAATGAAGTTGTTCTCTAGATTATCACACTAACTGCAACAAATAAACAGATACTAAATACAAATATATTTTGAATTCTACTCAATATTTGAATCGGGATTCTGCAGCTGTTTTTTGTGTTCAAGGCTCTCTGCTGGAACACAATTGAAATGAACCAGGGTTCACCAGGGTGCATTTCTTAGTTATAAAATTGGTTGAAAGATTATTTTTGCAGAGCATCTATTTTAATTTTGTTACAGCAAGGTTGCTTTATCGTAAGTTTTTTAACTTTTTTTAAATTTATTTAAGCATAACCTCTATGCGGTGCTTAAATAAATTCGCTCTTACATAAGTTCTGTAGTATCAATAAACAGCCCGACTTCCACGAGTGCACTGTGAGTAATGCCTTTTTAAAATAATGTACAAATTAAGTTAATGTTAAAAATATATATGTAATAAAATAAAAAATAAAATGTTATTTGTTTTAAAATTCACAGTTTACGAGTGAGGATGACGTCACAACAAACCGGAAATTAGTGTCGGAATATTGACGCTTGGTGAACGTCGCCACGAAATGTAGGTGCCTCAATTTTATGTTTATTTTTATGTTTCTCGGTGCGCACATTTTAATATTTATTTTTTATAATGTTTTTAATGTATTTTGATAATAAATAATCGCCAGCGACATACGCTAATTCACTTACAGCAGTTGTTCGAGGCACCATTTTATATTCAGTGCTGTACTTCGGTTTTAAAATGAAATTGGTTATCTCAGTATTGATAATTAGTTTTTACAACTAAGATTTAGTTGATGTTTCATAGGTAAGAGGTTGTGCGAATTGTGTTTTGTACTGTATGTTTTACTTATACATTTTTCCTTCAGCATTACTGATTCGACTGGATGAGAAGCTACGATTACCGGAATCGCTCTTCAAGAATCAAGAATCAAGTATCAACAAACAAGGTAATGACTTAAATTACAACAGAATCTAGCAATGTTAAAACAAAACCACGTCGGACCAAATTAATAACCTGTGTAAATAAGTTTCCTGTGAGGTTTATTATCTGGTCTACTGATTTGGCTCGTCTCAAATACAACGCTCAAATGATCAATTTAAATATGTACAGTAATTAAACAGTAGTATTGCACAACCTTCTGTCCATATTTTAATAAGTAAATTGTATGCAGTGTTTTTTTATCTAAAAAAAAGACTGCTTTTTTTCATTTCTTTAATTTGATTTTATACCAAATGAATGAGAATATACCTTCAAACAGTTGGCTGAAATGGTCGAAGAATCTGTTTACAAGACAACATCCAAAACCCTGCATTACTGTACCTTTTTGATATTGCACAAATTAAACAATGTTATTTACATATAAAATGATTAAATTAATTTCATTATCTTTTATATTTTCTGTATAAGTGTTATTCGGTTCTTGCGTTAAGAAAATCAGCCATTGTTTGTAAAGCTTTGGAGTACACTCCAATATTTGCATGCATATGTTGTATCACATTCTATTACATTTCTTTCATTACGTTCGTATGTCATACAGTTGAGGTAACAAAAATTATTGTTGTTGGTAGTAATGAAGATACATCTATCTAACATCTAGGCCTAACACAAGCTCTACAAGGTGCAAAAATATAGACTTTATATAAGAAAATACTATACAGTCAATAGAAAAAAACAGATTTTAAATGAAGAAAGATTTTTTTAAGAAACCATTCAACATTCCAACCGTTACGTGGCCCTTTTTCTACATTTCACTGCACATTGTACCATTTACTGGCCGGTTGACGTAAAACCAACATTTTGAGACATCGAAATGCGGTCCGGGTGCATATGATGGTATCAGAGGACCAACACTGCAATCTTATAATCAAAATGTCAAAATATTGTCCTTATCGCCCTTCGCCTCAGCTCACTACTTTTGGCAGCTCGTTCCTAGTCATCTAGCTGGCAGAGACAAGCCACACCGCGGTTAATCCAATGTTTCTGCGGCTGGTCAGAAGGAAGTTCAATGGACAGCACGTAGTTAGTGGAGTGGCCCGTAGTAGATAAAGTTCCTCTGCGGGCACTAGTTTTATATACTGGACATAAATATATGTTTTCATGCTTAAAGGTGGACATCTCCCCCGGTCTAAGCTTGATGATGGGTAAAAAGTCAAAAAGGATCTTGGGGAAGGACTCTCCGATGAACATCTTTTCCCTGTCCCATCGCGCACCCTCCATAAACAAGCCTCTGACGTAGGCTCCGTCCTCTGGCTTCTCTTTCATATTGTTCTCCTCTTTGGTTACTTCAAATTCAAAGCCGATGAAGTCTATGGGGATGGTGTACTTTCTCGCAAAATTTTGCGATACTCCCGTAAGGAACGACTGAGTGAAGTAAAACCCGGAAAGCCAGAAAACCGTGGGCGGCCCTTTAACTATCCAGTCTTGTAGGAATTGTAGCCGCGCTAACAAATCAGTCACGTAGCTCCCCAACGGCTTGAGAGAGGGATAAGACTTGGCGGCCCACATGCCCGGCACCTTTCCCACCAACATACTGTTATAGATGTCTTCGAGTTCCGAAGACATCACGATCTGTCCCTTCAAGGCTTTTTTAATGTTCACCAAGCTGTCCCGCACCACATGCGTAAGTCTGTTGAAGCGAATTATTTCTTGTCTCAAAACAGTATTCATCGATTCCTCGTACACTACGGGGTATTTCTGTATCACCATTACGGTGTCGAAATCTACCGGTAGCTTAGATAAAATGTCTTCCGCGAGCTCATTTACTATTTCCTGAGGCGACTTGGCCCCGCCTCCCATCTGCCGTGGCAACGTCGAGAGCACTCCACTCAGCAGCTGATTGGTCTCTTGGTTGTCTTTGGTTATATCGGCATTGCTGTGTAGTCCAAACACGCAGGGGTCGGCGAGAATCGGTAGGCTGCGAATGTAGTCGACGTACGTCTGATACGGTCCGTGAGCAGGGACGAAATAGAGATCGCTGCTAGATACTTCGTAACATTCCTTCCGTATCAGGTCCCAGTTGTAGAAGATCGAAAGGAGCGAGAGCAGCAAACGCCTGTCTTTGTCATCGGTCACCCTGCCTCCGTAGTTGCATTCGCCCGTGAGGTACGTGAGGGCCGCGAGCGGAACCTCCTCGTACTCATCCAAGAACATCTGGATCTGCCTGATGCTGATCCTCAAGTCCGACTCATTGAACTCGTAAGGAATATTCCAGCCCAGGGGTCCGAAATTCCTCCTTTCCTGTACGAGAGCATGAAAAAAAGTGAGACCAAATAAAAGCTTTTGCCAAATGTCTTGTTTCTTGGAGCTTTCAAAAAAGGCAGGGTCAGAGATTGGGTGACTTTGGTAAGAGCGCAGCAGGTTAGCTCTTATTCCTTTTGGGGGCTCATTGGTCATTTTCAGCCCATTCTGTAGGATGCTGACCGGAAACTTGTCCGAGGGATAACTAGTCAACCACAATCTAAAGTTTGTGTGCGTGTTCTCCGGGACAATGGTCACTTCGCAAATCCTCTCCAGGGTCGGCATCCAGCTGGTAGCCAAATGGCAGTTCTGCAGTACGACCCAGGTACCCTTCTTGATGGCTTGATTTATCATGTGATAAGCAATGGGTCCTTGGCCCTGGCCGAGAGAAATCGTTTGGGTTTTGCCGCCCCCCATGTCGAGATCCTCAGCAAATTTGAGCAGAACCGCGGTCGGATCGGATCCCGGTGACAAGACGAAAATAAGAGGAGAGCAGCAGTTCGAATCCTTGTAGCTCTCCCCCAAATCAAACGAAGGCGGTTCGACGTAAGAGGTTCCCATGTTCGCGACTATAAAATCCTGAACCGGTGGAACCAGTTTATCCGGCCTAAAACATTTAATCATGACCATTAGGTGCATTCCCGTCAACTCGCTGAACCTGCCGGGCAACCGTTCTTTGTGGGGCTGTCCCGAATCGTATAGCTTTTTCCAATCAGAAATGTTTCCTTGAACGTGTTCCAAAAAACCATCCAGGTTTGGCAATTTTGAGGCCTTTACAATTTCGGCCCAGCATTTGTCAGACAGCCACTCCGAAGCAGGATTGGGATACGGGTTATCTAAAGCGAGGCCGCCTGTCAAGAGGAAATGCCAAACCAGGTCATCGATTTCACCCCGTCCTTGCATTATTCCTACAGTGAGAAGAAGGGAAAATAGGAGCTTATCCTTTTCAAAAAGTGAGCGACAGACATTTTTATAGATGCAGAGGGTGAAGTGGTCGACAATGTTGGCGATTCTTTCGTCCACGTCGTCGCTTTCCGCACTCTCGGCAATGGAAAAGAGATACAGGTGAATGAACCAGCTCAAGGAGTACTGATACATGGGTTCGATATTAGCTAGCTGCGAGATGCAGAAAAATAAAATTGAAGAATGTTCCGCCACGGGACGGTAACCCATACGAGTGTCGTCTATCTCTTGCTCCGTGACGCTGGCGATTTTTTGCTTCTCTGAGATCTGCTCCGAGAGAACCTTCGAAGAAGACAGTATCTTCACCGCACCCTCATCCTCCAGGATGTTACCCTCAGAAGAAGAGAGCACTTGTAGGATCTTGTCCTCAATTTCCTTCAACTGCTTGCTGTTGGCGGCACTCTCCAAAATGAGCTCATGCTTTTTCTCTTCCAGTTCAGGCCTCTCTTTGGCCACCACAAGTCCTAAAAGCTGGTCCTGTAAGCCTTGCGGGGTGATCATGAAGTTGAGCAGACATACTTTGGCGGCTACTTCGGGAAGATAGTGAGGGTTCCTCAGGCCAGTAGTCATGTAGAATTTGAAAGCTTTGGAATATTCGACAATATTCTCTCCTATTTTCATCAATTCCACACCGTGTTGTTTGTAGGTCTGCTTCAGTAACAGGGGGTCAAGCACGGGCGTCAGTTCCTCGCCGACATTCTCCAAAAGAACGGGGTGACCGAAAGATACGCAATTCTCCAAAGTCCTGACGTAATTTTCATCTGACAGTTTGGTGACATTTAGCTTATTTTCTTTTTCCAGGTTTTTGATCCACTTGTTGGCCTGACCTTGAGGGTCTATCATCAAAGGCCAGCGACGCGAGTTGAACGCGATGATGCCGTTATCTGTGGAGAAGGAGTCCACGGGAAGCCCGGCGATTTGCCACGCTCTGATAGCCACCTGGTTACCTAAAGTGTTACTGAGGGTGAAGTCCTGAGAGCAGGGGATTTTTCTGTCTTGGCAAATTTCGTGCCAGTTTTCCTGACACGTGGTACGAAATTCCACAGTAAATGCCCCCAGGTAAGATACGGTACCCGACGAGAGGAGTATGTCGCCCGTCAGGTTTTCGTATCTGATCCCCAGCAGATTGGCAGCTTCCGTCCACCGATCCTTCTCTCCGCCCAGTCCCCCGATCAGTTTCTCCGCCCTGATCAGCTTTTCGGAACACAAGGCAATGTTTTTTTCCAGCTCTTGCTTCTTCTTCATCATTTCGTCCAAATTTACATTCAGGCAATATAATCTGTCCTCTACTTCTTTCAGCTCGGCCCTCTTCACTGCCAACATGTCCATCTGCGCCGCAAGGGCCTCTTCGGCTTCCTTCAACCTCTCCTTTTTCGGGGCGACGACTTTGGCCACACGTTCGTACACTTCCATTGCCAGGACCCATTTACAGAGACCTTCGCAAGCTGAGGAAACGTTTTTAATGACAGAGGGTTTGAATTCGGGGTTGTCGATGTACTTTTCCCTGATTTTCTTGATGTAAGCGACAGGAATGTTGTCTCTGTCGTAGGTTTTGAGGTTTTCCAAAAACTTTTGGTCTGCAAGAAGTTTCTTTGAAGGACCCCAGAACTCTTCGACCATCTTGCCAGAACCGCTGGGATCGGGTTTTTTCTCCGGTTTGATGCCCTTCATGATGCAAATGGACTCCATCACGAGTTTGACCGGGCCGGGCGGGTTCTTCATAGACTTCACTTCCGTAATGTGAGC